TAGGAGTGCGGGAAACTGAGCAGAGTAGAAGGTGGGTATGGGTTGAAGGTGGGGAAGTAAACAGGAAGACAAATATTTGAGCTAGTAATAGATTGGTCTAGTTTTGTAAGTTTTTATATATAGCAGATTAATTTATTCAATAATTATTAAGTACCTGCTGTGTGCTAGATATTATTGTACATGCCTAATAGAGTGGCAAACAGACAAAGTCCCTGCCCTCTTGAACTTATTAAAAGGATACTAAACATAGTTTTATGTTTCTTTTTTTAAAAACAGTATTTTTGAGATATAATTCACATACCATACAATTCATTCATTTAAAGTATATGATTCATTGTTTTTTAATATATTCTTCTACTGTCACCACAGTTAACTTTAGAACATTTTCATCATCCCAAAAAGCAATGGCATACCCTTTAGCAGTCATTCTCCATTCGCCCTAACTGCTTCCTCCTTCCAGCCTAGGCAACCATGAATCTTTCTGTCTCTATAGATGATTTGCGTGTTCTGGAGTTTTCATATAAATGGAGTCATACAGTATGTGTGTGATCTTTGATGTCTGGTTTCTGTCACTTAATGTTTTCAGGGCTCATCCGTGTTGCCGTTTGTATCAGAATTTTCAGTCCTTTTTATGGCTGAGTAATATTCAGTTGCATGGATATTCCACATGTTGTTGATCCATTTGTCAGTTGATGGATAGTTGGGCTTAGACTTTTTTGGCTATTATACATCACACTGCTATGCATGTTTATGTACAAGTTTGTGTGAGCATATGTTTTTGTTGTTCTTGTGTAGATACCTAGGAGTGGTATTGCTGGTTTATATGGTAACTCCGTGTTTAACATTTTGATGACCTGCCAGACTCTTTTCCCAAACCACGGTACCATTTTCTATCCCCAGTAGTAGTAAATGAGGGGTCCAGTTTCTCTGCATCCTTGCAAACACTTGAACACTTGTTGCTGTTTGTCTTTGATTATAACCATTCTAGTGGGTATAGTGGTATTTCATTGTAGTTTTAATTTCTTTTTTTTTTTTTTTGAGACAGAGTCTCACTCTGTCACACACACTGGAGTGCAGTGGCGCTTTCTCAGCTCACTGCAGCCTCTGCCTCCTGGGTTCAAGAGAGTCTCCTGCTTTACCCTTCTGAGTAGCTAGGACTACAGGCACGTACCTCCACATCCAGCTAATTTTTTTGTATTTTTAAAAGAGACGGGGTTTCACTATGTTAGCCAGGATGGTCTCGATCTCCTGACCACGTGATCCGCCTGCTTTGGCCTCCAAAAGTGCTGGGATTACAGGCCCGAGCCACTGTGCCCGACCTGTAGCTTTAATTTCTATTTCCATAATGTCTAAGGATGTTGAACATCTTCTCATGTGCTTGTTGGTTATTTTTATATCTTATTTGGAGAAATGTCTATCCGCATCCTTTGCCCATTTTTAAAGTGGGTTGTCCATTTTTTACTGAGTTGTAATAATTCTTTATATATTCCTGATACAAGTCCCTTATCAGATACAGAGTTTGCAAATATTGTCTCTTTTCCTGTGAATTATCTTTTTACTTTCTTGATGAAGTTATTTGAAGCACAATGTTTTAAATTTTGATGTAACCTATTTTTCTTTGATTGCTTGTGCCTTTGGTGTCATATTTAAGAAACTATTGCCTAATCCAAGGTCATGAAGCTTTACTCCTGCTCATATCGAGTTAATTTCTGTGTGTGGTGTAAGGAAGAGGTTCAGCTTTATTCCTTTTTTTTGCTCTGTCACCCAGGCTGGAGTGCAGTGGTGTGATCTCAGCTCACTGCAACCTCCACCTCCCGGGTTCAAGTTATTCTCATGCCTCAGCCTCCCGAGTAGCTGGGATTACAGGCATGCACCACTGTGCTGGCTAATTTTTGTATTTTTAGTAGAAATTGCATTTCACCATGTTGGCCAGGCTGGTCTCAAACTCCTGACCTCAGGTCGTCCACCCATCTTGGCCTCCCAAAGTGCTGGGACTACAGGCATGAGCCACCATGCCTGGCAGTTCTATTCTTTAACATGTGGATATCTAGTTGTTCCAGCACCATTTGTTGAAAGAGTATTCTTTACTTCAGTGAATTGCGTTGATATCCTTATCTAAAATCAGTTTATGGAAAATGTTGGAGTTTATTTCTGGAGTCTTAAATTTATCCCATTGATCAGCATGCCCATCCTGTTGCCAGTACTGTGCTATCTTGGTTACTATAGGGAATTGTGAGTGTTCCAACTTTGTTATTCTTTTTCAAGATGGTTTTTGCTATTTTGGGTCATATATATTTCTGTATGGACTTCAGGGTAAGCTTGTCGATTTCTGCACTAAAGGCAGATGGGATTCTGATAGACATTGCATTGAGTCAGTAGTTCAATTTGATTAGTATTGCAATCTTAACATTTAAGTCTTCCAGTCTATCAACATGGGATTTTAAAATTTTGTTTAGGTCATCTTTAATTTCTTTCAACAATGTTTTATAGTAGCTGTGTGTTTCTTTATCTTGTCTTTTATATATGTGCGTGTTGTGTTTTTAATGTATGTTTTACATATGTGTTTTATAGTAGCTATATAGTAGCTATGTGTTTTTTACCTTAAGATTTAGTGGCTACCTTCAGATCATCTTGGCAAAAACTCATGAGTGGTCACGAAGGAGACTTTTCTTCTGGAGCACACCAAATCTGCTTGTTTCCTGTGATGTTAACAGTGTCTCTTGATCTCAGTACTCATTCCTTTCTGCTTTACCATCAGTGTGCAGCTGACCCCTAAGGCTGCTTAATGTACTCTCCACCTTTCCAAGGTAATGTCTTTCTTTCTGTATACTTGATGTTCTGTAGAAATCATGGGCAAAGACACATGTTTTATCTGCTAGAGTTTCACAATGTATAGTTTGTCTTGAAAGCTTTCATTAGTTCTGCAGTCAAGAAAACAGTTTTCATCCCACAATTCCTAAGGTCACTTGCGAACAGAGTATTTTCTTATAACCTGCCTATTACATCCTGTAAGTCATAGCATACCAATTTTAGGAAAAATCCCTAGGGAATTCTTAGTGGCAGCTCCAGACTTATCCAAGTAAATAGCTTCATAATCTTTTCCTCTGTCAACTTTTTTTTTTTTTTTCCATAGTACCCCCAAAGGAAAAAAAACTTATTTCAAATCTTTGTTTTTCATTCTACCTCGGCAGCCTCATTTCTTATTATTTTGACTTGACAGTCTCTTTCTTAGATAAGCATGTTTATTACAAATAGCTATATTCTTATTATGGGTTTTATTTGCAGCCAAGTGGGATAATCATTGACTTTTTAGTAATCAAAACATCCTCTGAAAATTAAAAAGTAGTCACCCAGCAGTACACAATTTATTCGTTATCTCCTTATACCTTTGCCCTCTTACAAGCCCCTACTAAAATGCCAATTTTTTTTTTTTTTTTTTTTTGCAAATTTGTGTCAGTTCTAAGCTTCAGAACTACATTGTCTTCCTAGAAAACTAGACTTGTTAACCCCAAATTGTTTGGGGCTTTAAAATTGTGGAGTCCCTTTGTCTTTCTGCTGTTCAATCTTACCTGCCTTGCTCAGCTTTCTAAGAGATACAGGACACTCCAGTCAACCACATATTCTAAATTCTTAAACATAACTTAGATCCTGAGTCTGTCTCTTTGTTGAGAGGATTGAATAATTTAGAAGGAAACCTCAAGTACCCAAGTATTTTTCTGCCATAAAGCTTATAGCAAGGGTTCTCTTCTTTTTTTCACAACTAAGAATTCCTTTCGTTATTTTTTCTTCCACAAATCATATATTTGAAAGATTGTCTGCTAACACCTGAACTTACTAATTTGCTACAGTATTTTTTATTTATCATCCATACTTATGCTATCATAACTTTTGTGTTCTTTGAGCACTGTTTGAAATCAGTGATGTGCTAGAAAGACCATGGACTTTGGCAGTGGACAAACCTGGACTAAAATCCCAGCTTTTGGCTGGGTTAGCGACTCACACCTGTAATCCCAGCACTTTGGGAGGCCGAGGTGGGTGGATCATCTGAAGTCTAGAGTTCGAGATCAGCCTGGCCAACGTGGTGCAACCCTGTCTCTACTAAAAATACAAAAATTAGGCAGGCAAGGTGATCTGTGCCTGTAATCCCACCTACTTGGGAGGCTGAGGCAGGAGAATCACTTGAACTCGGGAGCATAGGTTGCAGTGAGCCAAGATTGTGCTACTACTGCATTCCAGCCTGACCTACAGAGTGAGACTCCATGTCAAAAAAAAAAAAAAAAAAAAAAAAATCCCAACTTTGCGGGTTAGTAGTGGTATGATGCTAGGTACATTATTTATTGGTACTTCTAATCTCTTCATCTTTAAAAATAGGGATAATCTCAACTTTGAAGGGTCGTTAGAAAGATTGATGAATGTGGATGCTCTAAGCATAATTCTAGGCATGTAGAATCATCGCAGGTTAAATTCTACCTATATTTAGTGAAGTCCATTTTAATGTCTGTGATTATATTCTGATTCCCAGCAAAAATAAAAAATAAAAAAATAAAGCCTTTTAAAACTCCATAGGTTGTAGTTTTTGTTTGGATATCTTCATAATTTGCAGCTGGTGCTCTATGAAGTAATCCATATAGAATGTATAGAAACAAAGCAATACATATATTAGTCATGATTGCTTCAGCCTGACTTATATATTTTATATTTTATCCTCATTTATCTTCACTTCTCCTTTGTGGAAAAACTAACTTCAATTTTCTGGTTAACCAGACTTATTACAGTAGCGAATTTTATGCTTCTAGATCTTGGTGATAAGAACATTTATGAGTCTAGTGTTTCATCTGAAGATATATGTATCTTAAGAATATAGTTTGCTATTATAAGGATCCAAATAATTGAAGTTTTAAAATTCTAAAATGGAAACAAATCTGGGAAAGAAAATGTGGGTGAAATACTAATTTGTTTAAAATAAAGTTAGTATAAATAATTTTTTTATTGCCTTGCAGTCCACAAGGATCGGAATGTCAGTGAATGCTATTCGCAAGCAGAGTACAGATGAAGAAGTTACATCTTTGGCAAAGTCTCTCATCAAATCCTGGAAAAAGTTATTAGGTATCATTGATCATTCCTTACATATATTTATGATGATGTGATTTATTCAGATGGTTAGTGGTTAACATTTTACAGTTAGGTAATGCTTACATTTTTTTCTTTAAATCTAGATATACTGAAATCAGTGCCTCATAATAAAGGTGAGGGGGGTTAATATGACCTTTAAGGTTTTTTTTTGTTTGTTTTTTGTTTTTTTGCCTTTTAGACTAGTCAGATTTGGTTTTCTTAACTAACTCTGACACAACTGGATAAACTCTTTAGGTAAGAAGAATTTTGTCTTAAAGGAAAGGTTATGCATACCTTTTGAAATGGTTTTTGAAATTTTTGACTTGCAGAAAACTTGCAAGGATAGTAAAAAGAATGCTGTATCCTTTGTCAAGATCATTACTTTTTAATATTTGCCGTATTTGTTTTTCTTAACAGCTTGAAAGTAGGTTGTTTTTCACCGTTTTCTGAACCATTTGTTTTCCTGAACCGTTTGAAAGTAGATTGGCTATATCATGCTCTTTTACCCTTTAAATACTTGTGTGTATTTCCTGACTACACGCTTTTTTTTTTTTTTTTATGGAATCATAGTATTAAAAATTTAGGAAATTTAACATTGGTATAGTACTTCATAGTTTACGTTCAGGTTTGTCAATTGTCCTAGTAATGATTTTATATATATATATATATTTTTTTTTATCACCAGGAAAATATCCAGTTCAGGATCACAGAGCTAGTTTTCTAATTTGAAATCATTCTTAAGCCTTTCTTTATCTTTTATGAAATTGACATTTTGAAGAATACTGGCACCCCTTCCCCTTAGTTTTTCCCTCGAGGCAGAAATGTTCCTTTCTCATTTGAAGACCAACCTGTTTACTTGGGTTCATGATTTTACTTTTTCTTTGTTTTTGGTCTGTGATCTTTCACTATCAGTTATCCGCTCTCTAGGAAATGTACTCTGTCCTTGTCCATAGGGTCCTAGCCCGACAAATATGAATTCCCTCCCCCTAAATCTTATTTTGGGGCTGTCAGTTTTTTATTGATATATTTCCTGAAAGTCAAATTTGGAAGGAAAGAAAATTAGAGACAATTTTGTCCTTCACGTGAATTGTACAAACCCAATAAAAAAACATTGTTGTCGTGGGCCATGCTTTAAAATTTTATGTGTATTTGTGTATATATCCTGCCCTTCCCCCTCATTCCTTGCCCCCTGCCTCAAGTAAGGCTAAAAGAAACAACTTCATTTCCTATAGAAGAAAGTATTTGTGCTTCCTGAATATGTGGAGTTTAACTTTTTAATTTGACATAATAAGTGGCTCACAGAAAATTACCAAAAAAAAAAAAAGTACAGAAAGATCTCATGTACCCTTTATCTAGCTTCCTCCTATGGTAGTATTACATAACTCTCATATACAGAATCTCAACCAGGAAATTGACATTAATACAATCTACAGACCCTACTCAGATTTCATCAGTTTTTACAGGTGCTAGTGTATGTGTCGGGTGTGTGTGTGGTGGTGGGGCATGTAGCCTTCTGAGCAGTTTTATCCTGTGTATACATTCATGTAATCACCACTAATGTGTATTTTTAAATATTTACTTTCATGCAAATCAATTTTTTTTTTTTTTTTTTTTTTTTTTTT